TTAAGAACTGGCTTGGGACGCCAGAGGGCCCCGGTTCGGATCCCACATATGAGGGCCAGTGACACTGCCTTCTACAGCTAAGATGGTGAACAACAGCCCGACCTGGAGCTGGGCTGCCGTAAGTCGCCAGCAATGGCGTAGGCTGCAGTGGAGCTGCAGTGGGGCTGCTGTAAGCTACCGTGAGTGGCTGGCAGCTGCCATGAGCTTCCAAGAGCTGCCGTGAGGGGCCGTCCAGTGGCCGGCGACCGATCTGCCTCACCTGGGAAGAGCACAATGATAATAACAACATGGGCCAGTGAAGCGACGTCCTCCACAACTAGACTGAAGAACAAAAAGACAGCAACTTGTCTGTTCCCCTTCCCCGATTCCCCAATAAAACAATAAAATCTTAAAAAAAGAAAACCCTTGAGACTTGAGAATACAAAATGTTCTCGGTATGTACATTTGTAAATGTAATCACCTCTTGGTTCAATTTTCCTTTTTCCTATTTCCTATGACCTTACTGATCAACAAGTTAACAATTTCAGGAAATATCCCAACACAAGTAGTTAAGCTGAAAAGGCCAAATATTCTCATTTGAGATGCACTTTAGACAGTTACAAAATTAAAATATAGCCAAACACCTGTATTCTAGTACTGGTCTGATTAAATTTTCCAGGTCTCTGTTCCATCCCCTAACCCTTCCCCATTTTTTTCTCTGTTTAAGGATATTTCCCAACATTCTCACTGAGAAAGTCATAGAAACTAAGAAAACATAAAAAGCTACATGAAACATTAATTTCCTCTTGTACATAGTTAAGATCCATCAAAAAAACCACCAGCCGGTTATCTCAGTTGGTTAGAGCACAGTGCTCATAACCAAGGTTGCTGGTTTGATCCCCACATGGGCCACTGAGCTGCGCCCTCCACAACAGGATTGAAACAAATACTTGACTTGGAGCTGATGGGTCCTGGAAAAACACACTGTTCCCCTCCCCAGTAAAATTAAAATAAACAAACAAACAAAAAACCCAAACCCACCTACATGGCAAACAACAGTAACAAAACCACCAAAGCCAATATACCATTCTGTCCAGCATCCTTACAGTTCATAAAGCACTTTCCCAATCAGTAGTTTGCTCCTGTCTTCCTAAGAACACATTTAGAATTTTTGGAGTTGAGGGGAAAAGGTTAGGGAGGCTGGTGCTCCCTTAACTCAGCATCTCATTACTTGTTTCACACAAGTCCCCTAGCTGCCCTTGCCAACCCCAATGCCCTTCCAAGCCTCCTCACAGGAGGCAGTTTTCTGGCGGCCACAACTGAGCTGCCTGCCCTCTCCTATTAGCTAATCCTGTCAAATCAGGCTGGCAGTGTGGCAGTCTCGTCTTTACAGCCTCCTGGTTCCTCTATTCCCTTTCACCAACTGCTTGGAACCACACAGCTCAAAGTTCCTATGTGTGGTTTCTGCCTCTGTTAACCTAGAAACATTTTATGTTTATGTTTCTTTCATCTCATCACGTGTCTAATACACAGCATTACCTTCGAAGCCTAGCTCACATGTCAACTCCTGAAAGAAGCCTCCCCTGAATCCCCCAGCTTGGCATCATCGGAGTCGCATAGCACCTCACTCACTCCCTGTGCCATGGTGCTACCAACACTGCCCTATTGTCTGTAGGGTCAGGGGAGAAGAAACCTAATCCTGTGCCCATCTATAGTCCCAGGGTACCCTAACAGGCTGTCTCACATGGGGTAGGTCCTGAAAAACTACCAGCTGAATGAATAAATGAAAAATGGAAAACGACTTGGACAACTGGAAATGTGAGTTTCGGCTAAAAAGATGACAGACTTCAAAATTCTAATTGAGGCCAATTTAATTTTGTTTTTTAACTTTCTTGGCTTCCTTTTTATTTTAAAATTTTTACTTAATTTAGAGCAATTTAAACTTTAAATATTTCCTTTCTTGTAATACAGAATCTCAAATACATACCAAAGTTCAGAGAATCCCATGATGAGCTTGTGAGCCCAGCTTCAGTGGTTATGAACACATGGCCCATTGAGGCAGACGCAGAGCCAGGAGGAACTTAATCTGGGCCCCAAAAGGCATGGCCAGGTGAGCTGCCCAGTGTCACAGAGCTGCTCAATGACCCGCCAAGACAAAAACCTATGCACCCCAACCCCAGACACAATGTTCACCTCCCTATACTAGGACCCCTGAGAGACACTAAGAGAAGCTAGGGTGAAAAACAGGAATGAAAGCGAACCTTCTCTCAGTTAATTTTGTATTTAAAAAAAATGTACATGAGAAATATTTTAGGAGAAAAAAAGCCTTACTTTTTTGTGCTACATAACAGCGAGGTAGCAGGTTTATACACCACAAAAATACCTCCACCCACAGCTTCTATCTTGCCTGCAGCTGAACAGTACCTATGATAGGTAAACTTGTGTGATTACCTTCCTTCAGTCCTCACTATGGCTTTTGACATTGTTCCCCCACCTACACAGCACCGCTTTACTAAGAGCCTCAGGGCTCCCATGTCTCCTGGGGCCATCACCTATGTCATCATCCCCTTCCAGAATGGGGAAAGATCTGATGGGGTAGGGAGGTCCTCTCTGTATCTCTTCAGTGGGAAATAAAAGGATTAAATGCAACTGGGCTGATATCCTCAGTCCAATACCAGCTTTGCAAGCCAACCTTCCCATCCTAGATGCCTAGTACCAGCAGCACCCCGGGAGGTCAGAGGAGCCTCAGGTCCATCGCACCAGCTTATTCTTCTCCAGAGACTGGTACCCCCGAGCTTGGCTCTCTCACTTCCTGCCTACCCTGACCAAGGTTCAGGCTCTCACCTCCTGAGCCCAACATTAACCCAAAACTCCCTTCATCTGCCCCAAGACTTCCAGATGTATACAGCAGTTAGTGTTTGGTATTCACAACACCCTTATAAGGTAGAAATTTTCATATCGTGACTCCCTAACTTACATTCTGAAACATATAATTATGACTCCTATGTAACTTCTACCTCTGATAATGCAGTTTCTGATAAAGCGGGTTACTATTGCATTGGGTTGTCGGAAAAGTCATGACACATTTTTGCAACGAAAAACAGAAAAAATACGTCATGACTTTTCTGACAACCCAATAGAATACGGTCTGTGTTAACAGAAGTGTTAACACATTTAAGCAAGTGTCTGCCTGCTGCTGCTCTAGATACAAACTGGAATCAAAAAATCATTAGGTGGTAACTATGTCTTCAACTACTTATATTAATACTTGACCAAAGCTAAGAAAGTAAACAAATGCACAAAATGAACCATCTTAGTCTTTGCAAAAAAGTGGGTAAACTCTCTAGATTTTAACCAACAAATAAAACTCTCTCCACTCTAGGATTATTTTAATCTTTTCAAGGAGAAGAAAATCTAATTTATGTTAATAGTTGAGAACATGGCTCTATTGAGGGCATTAACTACCTTTGTTTTATGGATATTTCGTCAGTCCATACATAATTCCATCTGACCCCACAAAACTCTTCCACAACTCATTCATCGATAAATTATTGTAAATAGATTTTGTTGATTATGATGCTTTATCATCCTGAAAAGATGCATATATTTATTAAATTACTTATTCTTTAGGTTTTTGAATAGAAAGGATTTGCAGTGGAAGCTTTTTATTACATAAGCTGTCTTACAGGTCCTTGTCAGGTAATCAAACATGTGCTGACAGGTGCCCTTGACAGGTCATAATATTTCACAAAATTATAGTTTATAAATTCAAACAAAAGATACAGCAACCTCAATTTTAGGAAGCTCCCTTTTGTGACACATTAAGAACGAGCTTCCATTTCTCAATACCAAATTAACTGTGTTCAGTATCTTTAAAATAAAATCCTTCAAAACTGGTATTTCTAACACTCTTTAAAAGTGCTACGGCCAATTAACTCTCAGTTCATTTTGAAATGCATAAAAAAAATAACATGGAATGAAAGACGAATATAGATGGGCAGATATGTGATTATAAAAGTAGAGTAAAATGTTAATTGTAGACTCTACATGGTGGGTATACAGGTGATCAATTACAATTCTTTCAACTTTTCTGTGTATTTGAACATTTTCATGCGACAATGTTGGAAAGAAAAAAAGCTCAGCATCCCTAAACTTGATGCTTACAGCAAGCAGCCTTTGTGCTCTTAAGAACTAGTAGGAAATATAACAGCACAAAATGATTTAAGACATATTATATGAAACAGGATATAAAATTATTAACACAGTATTATGACAACCATGTAAAATATATACAGAAAAATAACAAAAGGAGCTGTACTAAAATATTAATAAAACTGTCCTTGGGTAGTAGTACTACGGGTTATTTTCTCACCTCTATTTGTCCAACTTTCTGTAATATAATCATATTTGTAAATGTTTACTGTGCACATATAAATATACATATGTATATTTAAAAATATTTTTGCAAGCACAACAAATGTAAAAAAAATAAATAAGGGGGGCTGTCAAACCTAACTTTAAGGAACAAAATATATTTTGTAGAAAAAAAAACAGGAAAGAAAAGAATGACTAGGGGTATACCCCCTTCCCTGACACATCCTAACCTTGGATTGTGTTTGCTCATGTTTTTGATTCAAATACAGATATGTCAACTGTGAACATAAACGCACCAAATCAATATGGTACATCACGTTTGTATTCACATAGTGGTATTGTATTAAGGTAATGAACAGACTTAGCTGACACGGCCAACTGCAGTGCCTTCTTATTCTCAGAATTCATAAAGAGAGGTAATATTCATAATGGAAGAAAGCATGCAAACTTCTTTAGGAGACTAGAACTTTTTACGACAGTAGTCTATTTTTTAAAGAATCATTAAGAGCTTTATCAAATGTCTTATAAATAGGCCTCTTTCTTGACTCTAGCCTAATTTCCTCTACCTAGGAGAATCGAGTCGCTTGAGCGCCAGCCATTTTGAGAACCACCCACATTAAGTCACCAGCCTCCTGAAGTCACAAGGGGACACGTGGATTTGAGACCCAGTCACTTAGACAAACCGCTTCATGTCTCAGGGCCTCCCTCTCCTCTATAAAATCAGGGCCTCCTAAGGTCCCTTACAGGTCAAAAATTCTCTGAATTTCAGGCAGCAGGGAAAACAGGCTCTGAGAAATGGAGTACGAAATAGGTCTCCTTGAACTCCACTCAGCCTATCCCTGGATACAGAGAATCTGGCACTATCAAAACACGCAAATTCATGAAGAGGAACAACTTCATAGAATGATCTGCCCCCTGAAAGGACCTTGAGGTACAACATGGAAACAGACATGAGGTCACCCCGTATTGCTAATTATAGGATTCATCCTCATTATGGGGTTTTTTGGAAAAAAATCTCAGCAATCCCGCCTCACTCGATGGACTCTAAACACACTATTAATCCCCTTTTCAAAGCTTCAAATAAAGGTGGCAAAAAGAGTTATTAAATATTAGGGAAAAAAATTAAGATAATACCTGGATGTATTTGCTGTTTTCTTCATATTTACTGTAACTTTAAGTGTTTTCCTCGTGGGACTGGCAGATGAAGGTTTTACATCGGAAAGTTTACTTTTATCAAGTTGGTTACTGGAAGAGTTACTCTCTCTTCTGCCATCCCCTTCTTTCTTTATTTTGTCCTTCCGTTTGTCAGTATAGGGTCTCAAATCAATGTCACTTTTACTGGAATGAGTACAGGCAAAGCAGTCTTTCTTAGGCAATTGAAAAGGCTCTTTGACTTGCCCACCTTCAGGCTCTCTCCCTCGTCCAGCATTAAAACAACTGGGCTCTCTATTTACCGGGCCTTTTTGAGGACTGTATTTTCTATCTTCCTCCTGAGAGTACTTCTGAGTTCTTCCATTAGAGAAGTCCTGGCTCCCATTGGAGGTCTTCTGACGTTTGTAGCGATAGTCACTGGATTCCCTGCTTGCTGAACTGGTCTCGGGGGGTTCCCTCTGAAAGTGTCGATGAGCTTGGGATCCCAGAATCCACTGATATTTCTTCTCTTTGTAAGGCAGAAGAGAATACCTGGACTTCCACTGTGGGCTTCTGGCAGGTTCTCTGTTTTCATACCACTCCATGTCTGTAGGTCTTTCTGATGTGTGCCCATATTTTCTGAAATAAGGATCCTCAGGATACCTGTGTTGACATAAAGCAGTTTACACTTATACTAGAGAGAAGAGGTGAGAATGTATGTGCGTGGAATATTGTGTAGCATGGCTTTAAATGCAGAACGCAGTGACAAGTTAACCTATAATCCCTCAAGCCAACTCACAGAGGCCCAAAGTAGTTACAGAGGAAATATCATATTTTACAAAAATATTCTGGCCATCAACATTATTTACTTTAAAAGTAAATAGTTCACTACTACCTCTAGAGCATAACTACATTACAGTGCTTTTTGTCTTTCTTAGACAAAAGCTTTTCAAGGTGGTTACCTTCAACTATAAAGTAAACACTTTTTCACTTGGGGCTTTATACCAAATTACCCAGGTTTAATGTTTTCCTATACCTGTTCTCAAAAGAGCTCCATTTCTCAAAATCTTCAGAGGCTCTTCTAAGTGGCTCATAATATTTTTCATCTTGTGTCCTCTGGTGCCTCAACTCATCTTCATGCCTCTTTCCTTTGAATCTAAAAGAATCTGCTTTTGGCCTCTGAGGTGATGTCCCTTCTGCTCGACTTCCTCTAACTCTGTGGTCATCAGGAATATACCTTCCTTGCATTTGCTGGGGATAATAATGTCTCTGGTGCTCTTTGTAGGGTACACCTTCTGAGTATCTGGACATATACTGAAGCCTTCTGTTATCATCCTCTCTTCCTGGTAAATATACTTGGTGAGGTTTATGAGTATAAAAAGTGTCTAAAGAGTCTCTTCTTGTGTTTGGGGAAGGTGATCTATGTTCATAAGATTGGTAATACATATTTTCATGAGAAGAAATCCTTGGTTTAGGTTTACTCTGTCCATGTTGCTCATTGTCCATTCTCCAGGTGGGGAGTTTTTCCAGATTTTTCCTATCTTCAAAGCCATAATGCCCATGAAAATACCTTCGCCTGTAGTAGTCAGGATTTCTAGGCATTGGTGATAAAGACCTATGTAAACAAACACAGACAGGTTTAGCTCATTTAAAGGCAATAAACTGTTTGTCTTAACATGACTTACCTAAATAAAACATTTGCTTTCCACTGTTTCTTCCACTCAGATTCAGTCCATCAATTTGTGATATCTGCATTCTAAATTGTCCATGTAAGGGTCTGATCATGCGTGTGCCCAATCCAACAAACATCCTCTTTCCATCTGAACTAACATACCCCATGTGTATATCAAAGTGGGCGGAGCACACCTGTCCGGCTGGATGAGGACCAGCTTAGGAGAACGGCAGGATCCATTTTGGGAGATTGCTGACAGCAAAGTTCTGGCAAAAAGGATTGTCAGCAAGAACTTACATCAGGTTCGATAGTGAGGTAAGAAACAAGCAGGAGGATTCACTTAAGTAAATGTGTAGAAGAGTCTGACGAGCTGAACATAACCTCTGAAATGAAATTAGATTCTAAGAGTTTATAAAGCCACAATAAACTCAAACTCAGGCCCAAAACTGACCTCCCAGTTTCTCCAATTGTCTAGTCTCTCTACTAAGGTTACAGCAAGGAGCAAAAAGTACATGCTTAAATGATGTGGGGGGGGGGAAGAATCTTAAGAGTTGAATCTCATGCTTAGTTCCTTCATAAATAGCACTAACATAGATAAGCTGCTTTTCTCTCTCAGAGCTACTCCTGTACATATAAAATGAAAGATGTGCTGTTGAAACCAAGCTTGTAACTTTGGCAAATGTGTGCTGTAATGATGCTGTAATGCTCTCCAGGGAAGGCACATCCTTTCTGGAACTCCCTTCTCCAATAACTCAGCATTGCCAACATCGAGCCTTTTGTTCCCACTAAGGAGGAAGGCTTCTGAGTCCAGAAAAACTGGTCAGTCTGAACTGCCCAGGCTTCAGGATGAGAGAGAGGAGCGCCACTACCTGGAACACAGCAAGTTCAATTTCGCACCTGAGGACGCTTCCTCCCATCTGACCTGTCCAATCTCCCCATCTCCTCCCTGAGGGGCTAATACCTTCAATCAATGAGGCGGCTAGCCTTGCAGCCCCCTCTTCAGAAGGTGCCATGGAGCTGGAGCAACCGTGAGTACAGCTCTTTCCATTTGATGACCTGTCTGTGCAGCCCCACGAGAGAGGAGGCAGGTTTAGCCTCCTGGCGTACATACTGGGATTTACATACTGGACTCGGCAATATCTCCCTCTGGAATCACCGAGATAGATATACTGGCAAGTGTATTCTTCAGCTGAAGCAGAAGCTCTGCCATCCAGCTGGCTGCACCTCATCACAGGAAGAAACAACTGGAGCCTCTGAGGACTTCCTAGAAGATTTCATCTCCTCTACCACTAAGGAGAAAAGCTGGTAGCCGGAGACTGTTCTTCCAGCCTGGACAAAATACTCCATCTCTATTTTAATCCCAACTTCACACTGAATACCACTTTGATATTATAGTTCACATCAGAGTTTTATTGTACAGAGCCCCTTTCTTCTGAATGAGATTGCTGGAATGGCTACTATCATTGTTAGTTCTCCTAAAGGGTTAAGACAGACCCAAGGAGTCTGTTAGGAGACAATTCTCCATGGGTCTCCTGAGTTCTGCACGCCTGTGAGCTGAAGCACTGACAGCTTTAGTTCCAAGGCAAACAGCCTGGAAAGATGGAGCTAGGGTCTCCCTCAGGGGCAGAGGGCCAATCTGTCTGCTGTCCAGGATAATAAGATAATGTCTCCTCCAAGGCAAGAGCCTTGAGGAGGCTCGGGTTCCTCAGCTGTGTTGTCACCCCACTGCTTTGCTCTGCAGCGCCTGCCCTCAGGGGGCTGGGGGTATGGGGAACACAGGAACATGAAGCTCAGGCTGCCTGCTCTCCTGTGAGTAATAAACACCTTTGCCTCTGAGGCAGGAGGGCCTCATGCCAGGCTACTGTGTTAGCTGGCAAGTAGGGTAAAACAGCAGACCCTTTACAGTTTGGGACAAAGAGTCTTGAGAAGGAGTCCAGAAATCAGGCACTAAGCTTGGGTCTTTTCTGCTGCCTCACCAAGGCCTACCACAAAAAGGTGAAACAAATGAGCTCTGTGATGCCCCCCCAAGTTAAAATCAGTCGCTTCTTTACATTCCCTTTTTTTCTAAAGTTCCTTCCCATTACAAGTTAGTCTTACCAACTCCAAATTAACACTGTTGAAGAAATGATTGATTAGTGAATGCAGAACCATCATGAACAGGCACAGTGGTCAAGCCACACTGACATGAAAATTCTTGGTCTGCCTTTTAGGTAGGTAATTATGGTCCTTTGCAACGAACTAGTCATTTTCCCCGCTCTGCCCCTTTGCTCCTGTTGTCCCCCTTAACTGGAATACTTCTCTCTTTCTACCTTTAGCAATTCTACTCATCCTTAAAAGTCTGGCTAAAATCTCATCTCTTCTGTTGAAGACTGTCTTAGTATCCCCGCCCCCCACCCCAGGAGCGCAGACTCATTCCCTCCCTGTGGATCGAGGATGCTGTCTCAGTCAGCAGCACTGCCCTTTCCCACTGTATCGGAGTTGCCTATGGCGTCCATCTTCCAGCCAGCCTGTGTGCTTGCTGAGGGCCCACAAGATGTTGTATTTTAGCCCCAGAGCCTGCCTGCAGCAGGTATATAATAAATACTGTTTGAGTAGCTGCAATCTAATTATATACGTTTTTGATACTACCCACCAGAAAAGAGGAGAGTTGAACTACAATTGAGTTATTCAAAACTATTATTCTGCCATGAAGAAGAAACAGGAAACTCCGAATTTTCTCTCTCAACTTCTTCCAACATATTAATGAAATAAATAAATAAAATTCACACTGAAAAGTTTGAAACCACCTACTGCTGCCAAACATGTAACATCTCAAGGGTGTTTGTTTCTCGCTCTCCTTCTGCCAAACATGTAACGTCTCAAGGGTGTTTTTCCGCTTTCCTACTGCTGCGAAACACATAACATCTCAAAGTTGTTTGTTTTTCGCTCTCCTTCTACAAAACATGTAACATCCCAAAGGCGTTTCTCGCTCTCCTACTGCTGCAAAACACATATCAAAGGTGTTTTTCGCTCTCCCTTGCTGTGGAAAATGGCGTTTCTTTTTTTTTTTTTAAGATTTTTATTGGGGAATTGGGAGGATGGGAACAGCGCTGGGGAATTGGGGGAAGGGGAACAGACAAGTTGCTGTCCTTTTTGTTCTTCAGTCTAGTTATGGAGGACGTTGCTTCACTGGCCCAAGTTGGCACCATCATTGCGCTCTTCCCGGGCAATGCAGATCAGTCGCCGGCTTCTGGACGGCGGCTCACTGTGGCTGCTGGCCGCTCACTGCGGCTGCTGGCTACATAGGGTAACCCATGGCAACCCACTGCCACAGGGGCTGCAGCCTACGCCGTCACCTCATGGCAGCCCAGCCCCAGGTTGAGCTGTTGTTCAGCATCTTAGCTGTAGAGGGCAGTGTCACTGGCCCTCATATGTGGGATCCGAACTGGGGCCCTCTGGAGTTCCAAGCCAGCTCTTAACCATCGCGCCACTCAGCCGGCCCTGGCGTTTCTTATTATGGATTAATTTCTAGCTGCCAGCTGTCATTAAAGAAAGCTGTCTGCTCCTAAAACTTAGAAATGCTACCTCTAGCACTGTAAAGCTCCTATTGTGAATAACCAGGTCCCATGAGCTCATTAAAATAGGCTCTTAACAGTACTGGGTTCTGAACTTGATCGTGGAAGCACATCCCAAATGCAAGCTTGCTCTGCTAAACTAAAAACTGCTCACCTGTGTTTCCACCTGGGGGATCCAGACCGTGACCGTGATCGTGACATCCTTTGATGTATGAGCCACTACCCACTTTTGATGCTGCAAAGAAACACAGTATTAGCAAGTTTGTAGGAAGAGCCTGTAATCTGCTCTAAAAACAGTGAATGCCACCCACAAAAAGTTACTTAAGCCCTCTGTTTCCTCATCTGTAAAATAGGGGTGATAATAATAGGACCTGCCTTATTGGAATGTGAGGTTAAAATGAATCAAATCAGAGATCAGCAAACATTTTCTGTAAAGGGCCGGATAGTAACTATTTTAGGCTTTGTGGGCCATATAACGTCTCTACGCATCTTTTTCTTTTCTTTAAAACAACCTTTTAAAAATATAGAAACTATTATTAGTTCAAGGGCCACACAGAAAAACAGGCCCCAAACACCAAATGCAGTGTAGTTTGATGATCCCTGAGTTGAGTCATGAGAAGAGCTTAGAAGAGAGCCTCACACACAGCAACTGTGAAGTAAGTGTTCCCAAAAGAGAAAAAATTACCCAGAATTCTTCTCTCTGGACACAACCCCTACTACCTGCCTGTCTTTCACCATGTACATAAATAAACACTTCATATAATCACAGTCAACATGTTTAGGAACACTTGAAGCTATCTTCTGCTTTTTAAGTTGTTGGATAAGAATCACAATGTCTAATTACAGTACTCAACTGCTACCTAACTTCCACCAGATAAATATACCAAAACTTAATTAAGCATGAATAGCCATTTAGCTTGCTTCTGATTTTTTGCTAAAATAAGTAATGTCAAATAAGTGAATTTTAGAAGACATATAAACTTTTTAAAATATTCTTCAGTCTTTAAAAAAAACTGATAGCTTTAGGAACTGAATTGAAAAATACACAATTAGGGTGTAATCTTCTATACTAGCTATTATTTACATTTCAGTAATCCTCCTCAGTTCTGACACTATAATTAAGTAGTTCCCAACTTACTGGCCCCAAACCCCTGGTGGCTTTCAAAATTATTGCCATGGGTCCATGAATAATACATACAGCCACCATGCACAGACTACAGAATATATGTCTTACATATTATAACCTCTATTTTGCAAATTTCTGAAGATACTGTGGTGATTGTTGAAATATAAATGTCTTCCAGCCACCGTGTGCTTTTACCACTGACTGATAAAATACAACAGTTATGTGGACATTGGTTTAAAAAGGGAGTCCTCACAGTCAAACATTTGCAAACTACTGTTATAATGAATTTCAGAAGAAAATAAAAGCATATAAGGCAGCGGTTCTCAACCTGTGGGTCGCAACCCCTTTGGGGGTCGAATGACCCTTTCACAGGGGTCACCTAAGACCATCGGAAAACAAAAATTTACATTAAGAGTCATAACAGTAGCAAAATTACAGTTATAGAGTAGCAACGAAAATAATCTTATGGTTGGGGGTCACCACAACATGTATTAAGGGGTCGCGGCATTAGGAAGGTTGAGAACCGCTGATATAAGGTCAAAGGACTTGAACCAGATCACTCACCAGGAGAAGTACATTCAATTCAATTCATTTAGTTATAACACTGCTTTTTTTGCAAAAACAATTTGAGGCCTGAAAGGACAATTAGTTCATATGTACTATGAAATAAAGACACTGAAGGGGAAAATGTTTTCTTAGTAATTACAAATATCAAAATATTCATTCAACAAATATTACTGAGTACCTATTATTTGCAGGCACTGTTCTGCGGATACAGCAGTGAACAGACACAGGCAAAAATTCCTGCCCCCTGGAGCTTCCATTCTACTGAGGGAGCTTATAATTTAACTAAAGCAGTTTTGGTTATCACTTCATACCTATTGTAGTGAATAAAAATAATAAATAATAAACCAAGAGGTTGTGTGTGTGGGAAACACCAAATATTGTTGGTGATGATTAAAAGCACAATTTTTCTGGAAGGTAATCTTATTTTCCATTTTATTGTTTTGAAAAACAGATTGATTGAGATTGAGATTGAGATTCACAAACCATAGAATTTACCCATCTAAAGTGTACAATTCAGTGTTTTTTAGTATAGTCACAGGGATGTACAACCATCACCATAATGTAATTTTAGAACATTTTCATCCCCTCTAAAAGAAACCCCATTAGCAGTCTCTCCACATTTCTCCCCTCCTTGAATTAGCCCCCGACAACCATTAATCTACTTTCTGTTTCTATGGATTTGCCTTCTCTGGAACTTTCAAGTAAACGGAATCATACAATATATGGTCTTTTGTGACCGGCTTCTTTCCCTAGCATGTTTTCAAAGGTCATCCTTGTTTTACCACGTGTCAGTACTTCATTCCTTTTTATGGCTGAATAATATTCCACTATATGGATATACCACATTTTGTTATTCATTCATCTCTCAATGGACATTTGGGCTGCTTCTATTTTTTATCATTATGCATAATGCTGCTATGAACGTTTGTGTACAAGTTTGGGTGTGGACATATATTTTTATTTCTCATATATCTAGGAGCAGAATTGTAGTCATGATAATGCTGTTTTATTTTTTGAGAGAAACAAATTTTTCTAAGCAGCTGCCTCGCTTACATTCCTACCAGCAATGTTTTGAGGGTTCAGATTTTTCTACACCCTCACCAACACTTGTTATTGTCTGTCTTTTGGATTATAGCAATCTTAGTGGGGGTGAAGTGGTATCTCAACTGTGGTTTTGATTTACATATCCCTAATGATGGGTGATCTTCAAATATGTAAGAAATTATGAAACTAATCTTGCCGACTTTCCTTTAATCATTTCAGTTTAAAGTTATTCTAAAATAATTTAAAAGAAAAAATTAGCTATATATGCAAAGATGTCTATATCAGCTTTATTTATAATAGGAAAGAAAAAAACTACCCAAACTAATTATAACCCAAATGTCCAACAATCACTAAAAGACTAAACAAATTTAAAATACATACATCTAGTCACTTCCTACCTTTCTCCTCGCCTTATGTATGTCTTTTCCTCTACATATCCTGTTAGTCCACCAGACCACACTACTTGCTTTTCCCGGATCAGGTTGTGCTGTTCCTACCACATAGATGTTCTTCCCTCAATCTGCCTGACAAACCCCTATTCTTTCAGGACTGACCATCTTCTCCCCTGGGATTCTTCCCTTGACTTTATTTTCCCCCCCGAATTTCTTTCTTCTTGGGAATTCTGGGTTTATTCTGTGATTGTTTCAATACACTGTGATTATTTGTTTACATTAACTATATTTATTTCAAAACCCAAAAGACTCCAAACAGCATATTACAGAACACAAAACTCAAATGACCTATGGACATCTGAGGTATTCAATCTCATTAATAATTGAATAAACACAAATAAGATCATAACCATTCCACACTCATCAGACTGACAAAAAAAAAAAGAAGTTTCATATTCCAAAGTGTTGGTGAGGATGTGGAATGACAGGAACTCTCACATATTGCCAGCTGAGTATACATGAGTATGACCAGTTTGGAAGGGGTTATTCAGGACATCGAGGCAGACACAACAGCGCAACTAAAGACACTCACAAAAGTGCGCTTCCAGAACTGCTTCAGAAAGTGTTCAAAGAGAAGGGGAGTGTTTTGAAGGAGATTAATGGCAATGTGTCTTTTACTGTAATACTCTTTTTATTTAAACATTCACCATATTGTTTGATCACACCTTGTACAGAGATGGTTGCACACCTCAGCAAACATACTAAAAACCACTGAATTGCACACTTTAAACCTTTAAATTGTATCTCCATAAAGCTGTTTTTTAAAAAGTTAATGTTGTTTGCAATTGCTTAGTGAACATCAGCCAGTAATGAAAAGTACTGGCTCAGGGGCTTAATGGATAAGAAAGGAGAGTTAATTTAAACCCTAGAGTCTGAGCCAAGCATGGTTTTTACATTTTTAAAGGATTGTTAAAAAAAAAAAAGGAACTTGCGACAGAGACTATATGTGACCCACAAAGCCTAAAATATTTACTATCTTAGGTAATATTTTATTTACTGGTCCTTTACATTAAAAGTGTGCTGATCCCTGATTTAAACTTATTTATGACTAGCAAAGTTATTCAAAGGAACCAGCTTTTTTGGGGGGGGAGGGGGCAGAAGAGAGGGAGAGAGAAGGGGAGGGGAGAGGAGAGGAGAGACTGAAACAGCAGCAGAGTTTGTGGTTGGGGAGAAGGCGATGTCAACACCAGAAAATAAATTCGTTTATACGGACACTCCAGAGGGAACTGTATGGGGCCAGGGGCAGTGAATGAACCCATCTGCCCTTGAACACAGAAAGATACCTGGATAGCAGGGGCATTCACTCCAGAAGGATGCTAAAGAGGACACTGGGGCCAAAAGAGGCCAGGCTACCTGGACGGCAGTGGCTATACCCCTCAGGCAGCTGAAAGATCCAGGTCCTGCAATTCTCTTCTTCCCAGGACTCAGCTTTCCCCTCGCCACTAGGCCCTTCCAATCACCCGTAATTCTCCCAGCTCCCTGGAACCACAGCCCCCCTGGGGCTATCACTTTAACTCTCCTTTTACAACCAAATTCCTCAAAGGGCGATTCTTTCCCTGATTCTTTCCCTCCCATTCTCGCTTGGCCCCCCACTAATAAGGCTTGCCACTCCACCAATGCACCAAACTGCTCTAGTCAAGATCACTAATGAAATCCCTGTTGCTAAATCCAATGGTTATGTGTCCTCCTCCTCCTAGACCTACCAGCAGCACTTGAGAGGCAATTACGCCTTCCCCTCAGAACCATTTTCTCACTCGGATTCCAGAGTACTACACTCTCCTGGATTTCCTCCCACCTGTAAAAATTCCTTCTGTCTCCTTTGCTGGCTTCTCCTCATCTCTGCCCCTCACCACTCTGACCCGTAAATAGTGAACCCCACCTTCCTCGAAATAGTGCCTTCAGTCTTGGGACTTCTCATTGTCCATGCTCTCACCCCATCTACACTCTCATTCAGTCTCATGGCTTTAAACACTCTCCAGAAACCACCAACCCCCCAAATTTATGTCTCCGGCCCTCACCTATCCCCTGTACTGCAGTCTTACAAAT